GGGGTGCCCAGATGTGCACCTGCATGAAATTAGACATCTGGTTGGGGATGAGGGGTCTACCCCTTGGCAAACAGCCTCAGCCTCAGCCTGCTGGGCCTCCCAGTCCTGGTTCTGCCCTTGCCTTTTCCTGAATCCTGCACTCTGCCTGCCTGGAGTCAGGTCAGCTCCACACTTATTTCCTGAGCACCTACTGTGTGTAGGGCCCTGTGCTAGTGGCTGGGCAGGGGTGCAGCAGCACAGAGCCGTGGGAGCCCCAGCACACTGTAGCAGGGGAAGGTGTAGGGGGCAAGTACAGATATGAGTAACATCAGTATCTGTGAGTGATTCCAGCTGTGTCATTTGCCAGCCTGTTACCTTGCGCAAATCACTTCTCTCTGAACCTCAGTTTCCTCTTGTAACCCAGGGTAGCAGTACCTCCCCATGGACTCATTATGAGGATTTGTTGGGATGAATGTGGAACAATATGCCTGGTGCTTAGCAGGTGTTCAGGTGAGCTCTTTTCCTCCTCCCATCATTTGGAGGACAGAGGTTTGGGGTTGTTATAGTGAGATGGACAAAGTGCTGAAGGTAAGGAAGACTTGGTTCCACTGGAGAATCTGAGAGACATCATGGTTCCTGTCAGCTAGCATCACTTTCCCGGTTTTTGTTTGGGGAACCACACCTCTCTCAGTGCTTGCTGGAACTAAGTAGAAAGAAGCCGTATTTTTCCAGATTGGCAGGATGCAAGCTTAGCGCTATTGTTGCTAATACTTGGACCAGAACAGAGGACAGCAGAGCAAAGATGATAGACAAGGATAGATAACTGATTTCCATCACTTAAGCTGCTGGATCCAGCCATGCCTGAAGTCCTTCCTCTGGATCTCTGGAGCCAATGCATTTTTTTCTTGCTTTTTTCTTCAACTAGTTAAAACTATTTCTGTTGTTTAAGCAGAATCATGATGAGTACTGGTGAGACTCCATTGGTCTGGATAACCTCTTCCTCCTGGCAAATTCTGCACCACTGTCACCACTTTTAAGAAGCCTGCCCTGATTCCACGTGTCAGGAGACATGTGAATCCTATCAATTCATCTCAAGGCTGCTGGGTTGAAACAGTATGTTTTACCCACCAGACTGGGAGCAGGGCTGTATCTTATTACTGGTTGTGTCTCTAATGCCCAGCACAGTGCTTGGCACATAGAAGGGTCTCAGTAATTCTGACAAAATGCACGAGTAGGAGTACAGAGTCTTGAGGCAAATTACATGAGAAGTAGTAAAGTAAAGAACTTGGGATTTGGAGTCAGATCCCCTTGAACCTGGATCTTGGCTCCCCCACTTATTAGCTCTGTGACCTTGAGCAAGTCAATTTCCCTGAACTTTGAGTTTTCTCCTGGGAAGATAGAGAAAAGAACAATCAACTCCTTATAAGGTTGTCCTGAAGGCTGGGGGAAAATAATGTAAGAAAAATGCATAGCACAGGGTTATAATTCCTCATGCAGCTCTTTGCAAATAAAATATAAATGTGCATCATCTTTCTCTACCTGGGGAGCAGTCTGATGGACAGGATGGGGGAGGCACGGGACCTCTTCAGTCTCTTCCTCCCCTGAGATCTGTTCCTGCTTCTCCTGCCTGAGCCAGTGCCTCCTTCCCAGTACCCTTACCCAAATGTGTTCAGGACCCTTCACATCAGAAGGGCTTGGCTGAGACTGAGTTGCAGTCCCTTCAGAGGGTGGGGGGCACTAGAGGCCACAGTCGGGCTCTGATCTAAGTGCCCTACCTCCATCATCCTGTTTGGTCTTCTCAACAAATGGGGAAACTGAGGCACAGGCAGCAACTTGCTTAAGGTCATCTCAGATAGTAAGCTTCATTCAAACTTAGGTAGTCTGGTATGGAGAAAAGGGAACCCTCCTACACTGCTGGTGAGAATGTAAATTGGTGCAGCCACTATAGAAAAACAGTACAGAGGTTCCTTAAAAAACTGGAGTTACCATATCCTCCAGCAGTCCCACTCCTGGGCATGTATCTGGAGAAAACTCTAATTTGAAAAGATACCTGCACCCCAATGTTTACAACAGCACTATTTACAATAGCCAAGATGTGGAAGCAACCTAAATGTCCATTGACAGATGACTGGATAAAGAAGTTGTGGTATATATATATATAATGGAATACTACTCAGCCATAAGAAAGAATGAAATAATGCCATTTGCAGCAGCATGGATGGACCTAGAGATGATCATACTAAGTGAAATAAATCATACTGAGAAAGACAAATACCATATGATATCACTTATATGTGGAATCTAAAATATGATACAAATGAACTTAGTTATTAAACAGAACAGACTCACAAACATAGAAAACAGACTTATGGTTACCAAAGAGGAAGAGGGGAGGGATAAATTAGGAGTTTGGGATTAGCAGATACAAATTACTGTATGTGAAATAGATAAACAAACACCCACGAAACACAATGGGAACACCACAACATGGGCACTGAAGTACCCTCTAAGCCCACTGGCTTCACTTTCCCAGGGCTTTTATTCTCGGGTGAAGAAATTCAGCTAAACCAGCAGCTACAGTCCCTCATCCCCAATGATGATGTGAGAAGGCTCATTTCTCATGTGATGTGGACTTTGAAAATGGACTGCTCTGAGACCTTCGTGAAGCTGGCCTGTGCCAAGCTCGTCTCCAGAACAGGCCTCCTGATGAAGCTTCTCGGTAAGCAGCAAGAAGTAAAGGTGTCCAAGGCGGCGTGGGATACCGACCTATGGAAAGCCGAAGCTATATCCGTGAGAGCACAGAAGCCCAGAGGGAACAGAAAGGGCAGAAGTCAAGTGAGGTGAGGACAACACCTGAAACACGGGGACCTGGCCTTTTACTCAGTGTAGGACATGCCATGAAAGGGCAGGACTCTGGAGACTGAGACGGATGCTTGGGCTGGACTGGAGAAAATTCAACGTGCTTGGGGGAAAATGGAAAAGGAGCAGAGTCCTCCTGCTGCTCTGGAGAATTTTCAGCCTCCTTATAGGCTCTGGAGTTATGATAACTGCTAGATCCAGGGGTTTAACTGTGATCTTAGGCATCACTGAATGCTGAGCTCCATCTGGACCTACAGGTGAGAATGTCACCTCATTATGTACTGGAGGTTGAGCTGCAACATCTGTAGAAGTCTCTGGAGGCTGAGTTGGGTGCTCATGCTGGACTGGAGAAGGTTCAGCATTTTCAGAGGGGGCTGGATGCTGATCCGGAGCCTCCTAATAAAGGTTCCAACTGCTCAGGGGACACGGTAGACTGAGGCCTCTTATTGGGGTGGAGAAGGTTCAACTTCATTTGTGGACCTTGGAGTTACGGTAAATGCAAGATCCACAGGTTTAACAGTGACACTGGACCTCTGCAGAGACCGAGCTTGATCCTGACCTGGAGGAGAAACTGTTGTCACATCATGCTCTTGAGAATGAGCTGGAGAGGGTTCAGCCTCAGCAGGAGACTCTGGATGCTGAGCTGTGATTTCCCGCCGGGTTGCAGGCGGTTTAAATTCTTCGTCTGGATGCTATGGAAACTGAGTTGGGGCCTCTTGTTGTGTTGAAGTTTTCTCACGTGCAACAGGTTCTGGAAATTGAGCTGAAGCCTTCTGTTGAACTGGCAAATGTTCAACTTAACTTCCTCAGGTGGCTGTGAAGGTCTGGTGGAGGCCGGTTGGAGGCCTCATGCTGGGTTGTAGAAAATCCCACATTATTAGTAAGGGGCGCTGAGGGCTGAGCTGAAGCCTCGTGCTGATTTGGAGAAGGTCCCACCTCTGTAGTGGGTTCTGCTGTTAACGGGACACAGGTTTGCCAGTGACACTGGATGAGTTTGAATGCTGAGCTGATGGTGACTTGGAGTTGAAGCTGTCACTTCATTGATGCTCTGGAGGTTGAGCTGGCTGTTCCTGTTGAGTTGGAGAAGGTTCCACCTCCCCAGAAGAAGGCTCTGGAGGCTGAGCTCGTTGCTCCTGCAAAGTTGCAGAAGATTCTACCTCTGCTGGAGACGGAGCTGGGGTCTCCTGCTGGGTTGGAAAAGATGCTGCCGCATTAGGGAGCTCTGGAGATTGAGCTTCTCCTGGGTTGGAGAAGTTTCAGCTTCTCCAAAAGACTGTAAAAGCTGAGCTGGGGTCTCCTGCTGGGGTTTCCTGCTGGGTGACTGGTTTCACCTCCTCAGGATGCTCTGTAGACTGAGCTGGGGTCTCCTGCTGGGTTGAAAAGGGTACAACTTCCCATTAGGCTCATAAGGCTGAGCTGGTCGTCCCTGTTTGCTTGCAGAAGGCTCAGCTTCCTCAAGAGGCTCAGGAGGCTGACCCATGGCATACTGCTGGGCTGGAGAAGGTTCTGCCTCCACAGAATACTCAGAGGCTGAGGCAGCGCCTCCTGCTGGGCTGTGTCGTAAATTCACCTTCCTTAGTAGGCTCTGGAGTGGTTGATCCTAAGTTCCAAATCCACCGGTTTAAGTGTAACACTGGATAAGTTGGAATGAGCTTGATACTTAATTCCAGGTCGAGCTGCTACCTCATCACTCACTAGAAATTGAGGTACATTCTCAGTAGGGAACCCCAGAACTTGCACTGGGGCCTCTTGCTGGAGTAGGGAAGATTCATACTCAGGGTGCTCTGGAGGCTGAGAAGGGGCCTCCTGCTGAACCGGAGAAGTTTCAACCGCATTAGTGACCTCTGGAGTTAGGGTAAGTGCCAGATCCAGAGGATTAACAGTGACCCTGTGCAGGTCTGACTGCCGAGCTTCATTCTGATTTGGATTGTTCATCTCATGATGTGTTAATTATTGAACTAAACCTCCTGAAGCCCTCCCTCCCCTTGAGGGGCTGAAATGCCCGCTCCCTCAGGAGTCCCTGAAGGCCGAGACCGAGCCCCTGCTGAAGTGGAGGTGGTTCTGTCTCTTCAGTGGTCTCTGGACGCTGCGCCTGGGCCTCTGCCTGGGGCAGAAAGGGTTCAACCTTCTCAGGGGTCTGTGGATTTTGAGCAGGGGCCACTTGCTGGGGTGAAGAGTCAGCCTCCTCAGTGGGCTCCGGATGATGAGTTTGGGCCTCCCGCAGGGATGAAGCAACTTCAGCCCTCTGGAAGTTGATCTGCGCTTCCCACAAAACACAAAGGTAGGCTCTCCTCTGGATAAAAGACATCCATACTGGATTCTAGATAACTGCCTTGCAACTGTTTGTGTAGATGCTGGGGTTTTTTCCCAACATGGCCTGTAGTTCCAATAACAACTTCGGCAAGTTGTCGATGCTGAACTAAACCTTTCTTCAGGTTTGGGGGTGAAACAATAAACTTTGTTGCTTTTGGGAAAAAAAAGCAAAACAACAAGGTCCTATATTCAATATCTTGTAATAACCTATAATGAAAAAGAATATATATATGTATAGCTGAATCACTATGCTGTCCACCAGAAACTAACGCAACCTTGTAAATCAACTATACTTAAAAAAAAAGAAGTAGATAGCCAGAACAATGTTAAAAAAGAAAAGAAAAGAAAAGAAAAATCAATGGAGGAACTAACTGAACCACAGTTCCAGCCATATGGAGTTTCCCACTCTCAGGCCTGTGTGCCCTTGGGCCAGGCAGGGCCCAGTCTCCAGACCTGGCTGTGATAACAATGTCTGGCTTTTAATCCCCTCCTGGTCCAGGGGCCTGAGCTGGCTCTGGCTGGACCTGCTGGTTCCCACCGGCAGGCCACTCACTTAGCAAATCATCATAGACTTCAAAGTGAGAGGTTGGAAGCATGGGGTGGGCCTTGGAGGGGCCATGGGTCTCAGCAGGTTGGAAAGGCCCCTCCTTGACCCAGGCCTTGAAGGTCAGAGCCCCTTCTATGGGCAGAGGGCGGAAATCCTGGGGTCACTCACTTTGGAGGGTCCCTGAGCCTGCCTGCTGCTTGCCAGGGCCAGGGCCCTGTTCCCTCATTGATCCCAGGCCTGTCCTGAGCCCCGATCCCCACTGCGAGCCTCCACCCCTGGCAACATCTGTCCAGCACCCCCTGCTCTCTGGCAGTGAGCACTGCTATCTCCAAGACCTCTCCTTACAGAAGTGTAAAGTGGTCGAGGCCCTGCCATGGCCCCCAGCTGGCCTCCCACTTCTCTCTTCACTGGAGGTGGGCTTACTGTGAAGTTAGTGAAATTTATGCTCAAGCCTCTCACTCGCATGGCCCCTGTGAGGACTAGGGGTCGCTGGGAGCTATGGAGTGTTCTAGGAGGGAAGAGCAGCCAATTTACACTCAGGAAACATTTTCCTTTAAGCGTTTCTGGCATTTTGTCCAGAGAGATGTCAGAAGAACAGACTTAAATCTCCAGGGTTCTGGCAATTTGTCATGCTTTTCTTTCTCATTCTCTATCAGTATTCATTTTCATACGAATTTCTTGTTCCTAATGGGGGCCCTTAAAATTGGATTCACCTGGCCCTTACTCCGTACAGTCCATTCTCCAAGCCGGCCTGACCATCCCGCTAAAGCAGCGTGTGGTCATCGCCAGCCCCCACGCAGCTTCTGTGGCTCCTGCTGCTCCTGGGGAAAATGCCAAACCTCTCTGGTGTCCTGAGTGATCCAGCTCTAGCCCACCTCCACGACAGCATTTGCTGCCACTGTGTGCCTCGAGCCCTCTGCTCCAGCCACCCTGACCCTCCCTCTGCCCCTCAGGCCACTCAGGAGTCTTAAGACCTTGGGGATGGGGGCTATAGCCCAGGGGTAGAGCATGAGCTTGGTGTGCATGAGGTCCTAGGTTCGATCCCCAGTGCCTCTGTTAAGGGGATAAATAAATACATAAAAGTGTGTGGGACTATATTTTAAAAAAGAAGGGAAAAAACAAAGAAAGACCTGCCTGGACTTCACCCCCCTTCCCCCATAGCCTGGAAACTCCCCCTCAACTTTCAGAATTTGGTGCCCACAACTGTTCCTCAGCAAGGACTCTCTGGACCCCAGACCACGTCACACACCTCACAGCACCTGGACCCTCCATCAGTGCTGACCATACCTGCGTCAGGTAACCCTGCTCTGCACTCAGAGGTCCCCATCTCATTCACCCGGTTGTTTAGGACAAAAATCTAAGAGCTCCCCCAGATTCCTCTCTTCCTCTTAAGCCCACATCTAATTGATTGGGAAATCCTATCAACTTTTCAAAATATGTTCAGAATCCAACCCCTCTGGCTACCTCCATGGCTACCACCTTAGTCCAAGCCCCCATCATCTCTCCAGGGTTATTTCAAATACTTCCGCACTGGCTTACTATTTCTATATAATCTATTCTAAAAAAAGCAAGGAGAGGAATCCTATAAAAATGTAAGTCAGATTACGTCAGCTCCGTGTGCAAATCCTCTGCTGGCTGCCCACCACAGGACTGTAAAGTCCTAACCCTGCCCATGGCCCTGAGTGATTCTGGTCCCCGCCCACCTCTGTGACCTCATTATTGCCACTCCATCCTCTGTGATGCATTCCAGCCATACTACATTTCCTGCTGTTCTGAAAATTCTCCCAGCTTGTTCCCACCTGGGGGCCTTTGCTCCTGCTGTTCTCTCAGCCTGGGTCATTCCTCCCCCAGCAACTTCCAAAAAGGCCCCGGAGGACCCTCACCCTCTGCCATGCCCTTGTGTAATCCCTTCCTCTCAGGGGTGGGCTAGACCCAGCGACTTGCTTCTAACCAACAGAATACAGCAAAAACATTGTCATGTGGCTTTAAACACTCGGTGACAAAGACTGTGACATCTGTCTTCTCTCTCTCCGTCACTTGCTGGCTCTGATGAAGCCAGCTGCCATCCTGTGGGCTGCCCCATGGAGAGACCCACGTGGCAAGGAACTGAGGGAGACCCCCAGCCAACAGCCAGGGAGGAACTGCTCCCGTTGATCCAATAGCTCCTGAGAAACTGAATCCTGTCAACAACCATGTGAGAGAGCTTGAAAGTGAATATGGCCCTGGTTGAGCCTTAAGATGACACCAAAGCCTCAGCTGACACCTTGACTGTGGCCAATGAGAGACCTTGAGCCAGAGGACCCAGCCAAGCTGCACCCAGCTTCCCAACCCACAGAAAAAGTGAGGCAATAAATGCCTGTTGTTTTCAGCTGCTAAGTTTTGGGGTCATTTGTTATGTAGCTGTAGATAACAAATATACCCTCCCTAGCCCCCGTCACTCCATCCCCTTTACCCAGCTTTGGTTTTTTTCTCCTAGCACCAGTGCCTCTTGCTCATCCCAGTGCCCGTCCCAGAGCCTGGCCTCACGCAGATGTTCAGTAATAGGGGATGAAATGCAGGACACTCCAAGGGACAACGCCATAGCTCAGAAAAGCCACAAGAGGGGGCTCAGGAGGGAGGAGGCAGGCTCACCCCGGTCCCAGCTGCTCCAGTTTACCATCACCTCTTAGCGAGTACTGGGGGCTGTGGTCTCCCACCTCTTCAGAAGGATGCTGGTTTGGGATCTGAGAGAACAAGGTGAGCTTCATGTCCCTGTTCCAGACTTTACCTTTTGGATTTCCTCTGCTGTCTGGACTTCAGGCCTAAAACGCCTCACTTAGAATGATCTAATTTTCATACCCTTGTCAGACTTTTCACAAGAATGATTTAATAGATAAGAATCCTATTCTAGACCATATGGCCCAATTTCTGTTTGGAAAATGGTCCCTGTGCCCATAAAAAGGAAAGTTCTGCCCAGTCCAGTCTCCTCCCAGCCCTGTCCCCACTGGGTCCCAGGCTATGCTGGGTGCGGGGAGGCCAGGGAACCTTCCAGCAAAAACATCAGGCCGGAGCTGGAACCCAGTGCTCAGTCTGGGTCTGGCAAGAGGCTGGCCCTGTGCCCACCTAACTGAGCCATTTCCTCCTAGACTGGGGCAAGTTTCCTGCCCAGAGGAAACCAAGCACATTCCCAGGCAGAGGGGGCTGGGTCCTGGATTGGGGGAGGGGGCACCCACAGGCATTTCCCCCACCTCAGCTACTCTGGGGCTGAGAGACCCCTCCTGGGGGTAGGACAGAGAGCGAAGGATCAGAAGTGGGGCTCGAGCTGTCGGTTGGGTGGCTGTTCCTGGAGGAATGGGCTGAAACCACCACGTCCATTCTTGGGCCTGCCTGTCCCTGTATCTCAGGCACACCCCAGGATGGGGACTGGAATCCTGGGGCAGAGTCTGCCCCAAAACAGGAGCCTTTGTGTGACCATGGTGGCCTTTCCTGAGAAGTGGGACCCATCAGAGCCTGGAATCCTACAAGAACCTTCACCAGGTCCCACCTCCTTCCTGGTGCCTCCCTTGCCTCTTCCAGACAGCCTGACCTGCACGATCCCTTTGGAAGCCTCCTGGCTGGGAGGCTTTGCCCTGTGGGATTCCTCCTGGGAGAGGACCCCTAAGCTGGGGCCCTCAATTCTCATGAAGCCAAACTGCCCTGTGGCTGGCTGCCTGAGCCACAGAATATGGCTGTGATGGAGCCCCAGGATTACCTGGGTACAAGGGGGCTGGAACCACATTCCAGAACCTGCCAAGAATGGACCTGCCACATTTTTCATGCCCACCTCTGTTAGTTTCCCTAGCCCCAATTCTTCAACGAGAAGAGGGTAGCAGGGAGTATGCACAGCACTTGAACTCTGGAAAGTCAGACTACCTGAATTCAAATCCCGGCTTTGCCACTAACTCATTGTGTGCTCTTGAGCAAGTTACTTAACTTCTCTGAGCCTCAGTTTCTGAATCTGGAAAAAGAGATAACAGTACCTGCCTCTTGTGGCTGATGTCAAAATGAAATGAGATAAGCACCCAACACATGATAGTTGTTCTTCTAACAGGCTCAGAGAGGGACAGCAGCCCACCCAAGGCCACACAGCGGGTAAGCAGAGGAGCTGGTACCCAGCCTTTTCCCATACACTCTGTGGCCTTCATGAGCTGGGCCCTGCAGAGATAGGAGACTGAATAGGGCTGAGATGAGAAGGATCCTCATGTCAGGGTCGGAGGCTGGGGACCCAAAGGCACCGATAGAGGCCTTTTTAGTATCGTGGTCCCTTCAGTTGTTTCTCAGCCTAGGATGGGACAGGACACGGGCATCATCCACCCAAGACGGCAAACGGATGCCAGACCATGTGTCCATCCACGCCCCCGCATTCCTGTAACCTCAGCCACTTCAGTATTAAATTCCTGACCCCCAGGGACCCAGCCCAGCACATACCCCACGGCCAGACCCAGCCAGAAGAGCTTTGTAGCCTAAGAAAAGCCTCTTTATCTCTCTACGTGTTCATGATTCTAAAAGAAATCTGAGAAAACCATTTTTATTGTTTGTGCAGAGGGCAAGGGAGGCCGGTAAAGGGGAAAACTTCTGAGGATACAGTTTTCCTCTGTCCCCCAAGTCCTCTGGGAAGGCAGGTCTGAGGGCGCTGTATCCATCGCCTGCCCTGAGAAAAGGAGAGTTAACCCAGTGGCCTTCAGGTGCCCCCACCCTCTGAGGGTCCCAGCCCCACATCCTCCCCTCCTGGGGGCCCCCAGTGCTCCAGGTGGGGGCCAGCCCTGCCATTCTGCCTGCAGGCAGCATCCTGGGGTCAAGGTCTCCAGGTCATTGGGCCTGAGAAACTCCAAGTCTTTGCTGAGGCCAGTCAGGAGGAGGTCATCCCTGGGGGCTGGGCAGGTGCAGAGGGCCGGGGTGGGCTTGGAGCTGAAACCAAAGGCCTCTGGGGTGGAAAATCCTGAAAGAAGGCAGGGAGGAAAGGATGGAGGACTCAATTCCCCACCCATAGGGAGGGTCTCAGGCCTCAAATTAGCCAGGACCTTTCTCCCCTTTGGGGCCTCTGGGGCACAGGATAGAGTGGGATATGGATGGGGTGGGGGTGTCCCTCAGTTGCCCCATTCCTAGTGATCCTGGTTACCAAAGGGTCAAAACTTAACACCAAGTGGGAGAGGGGATGCCAGCTCCCTCCACCCCCCAACCCCAAGAGAGGTCACCCCAGCTCTTCTTAAACTTGTTGAGGCTCCCAGGGCTGTCTGGAGCAGGGCTTTTGTGTCTGGGGGCTGCACCGGGTTGGGGTGCCCACCTGCATCTGGCAGAGATCTAGCAGGGTGCGGATGCCCACCAGGCACCAGAGCTCGCCCAGCAGGGAGACAAGGATGCCCAGGAGGTCCAGCCAGCGGCCCACCGTCAGCAGCAGCACGAAGAGGCCGCCCATGCGCACCAGCACCGTATGGACCTGGCTCTGCAGGCCGGGGTGCTGCCGCTGCTCCTCTGAGGAGACAGGTGCCCGTCACCATCTGCCTGCCCGGGACCTGGGGCCCCACCCTGAGGTCCAACTGTGTCGGGTCCTGGACCTCCCAGCTCCCTGACCCACTTTCCTCAGTGGGAGCCTTCCCCTCCCCAGGCAGCACCCCCGCCTTCCTTCTAGCTCGACTCCAGCTCTAAGCAACCCCAGGGCACCAGGCATTTCCTCCTCCCAGGCCTCACTGCCCACCCGCCTCCTCCTGCCGTCAGAACAGAGCAGCCAGCCTCACGTTGCAGGAGTCACCCTGACGCCTCTCTTTCCTGCACCCCCAGGTCTGATCCAACAGTAAGCCCTGCGGCCTCTTTCTACCAATAGATGCGGGTCCAGCCACTATCTTCTCTTGCAGCAGCCCCCTCACTGGGCTCCCGGCTCCTGGTCTTGACCCTACAACTCAGTGTGTACTCAGCAGCTATGGCCTTCTAAACACATTAATGAGATGAAATCATTCCTCTGCTTATAATTCTCCCAGGACTTCCCACTGCATTTAGAGTGAACTCCAAACTCCTTACCTTTTGAGGTCCTGCTCCATCTGACTCCAGCCTCATCTCATCTTGAACTTGGTCCCCCTTGCTCATTACCCTCAGCCATCCTGGTTTTCTTGTTGTTCATCAAGCATGCTAGGCTCATTCCTGCCTCAGGGCCTTTGCACCTGCTGCTCTCTCTCTCAGCCTGATTGCCCTTCCTTGTCCTGACTCTTCCATCCCATCCTTACCCTGCAGCCAGGTGGCTCCTCCTACAGCTCAGATCTGCCCAGGTCACTCTCCCCTGCTTAAAACCCTGCTACGCTTTCTCATCAGACTGCCTCACTTGGCTGATGACAGCTCTCCATCAGGCCCCTGTGAGCCCTGCCAGCCTCATCTCCTCCCGGGGCCTTGGGTGACAACGACACTTCCACTGTTTCAGCTGTTTGCTGCTGCCCTGACTTGTCTCACCTCTGGGATTTGGCATAAACGGTTCCCTCTGCCAGGATCTCCTTTCCCTTCTCACCTCTCTCAGGGGCTCCTGCTTATCCTTCAAGGCCCAATTCAAGCACTGTCCCCCAGGGCTCCCCTTTGCACTGTACTCTTCTCTGAGCTGCCCCACCGCATGGGCCCCGCCACCGGGCTGGGTGCTCTAGGCTGGCAGGGATGGGATTTGACTGTCATCGGCCTCCCCACGGCCTGACACAGCTCTGGACCCGGGTCAGACAGTGGGACGTGAATGCCGGGTGGATGAACCCCTGGCCGCGGCCCTTACCCTGCATGTAGATGACCAGCAGTGTGTAGCAGATGGTGAGCGGCGTCCAGAAGCGCACGGCCTCTGAGGTGGTCAGGAAGTCCCGGTTGATGAGGGCCACGGCCGCCAGGTTGCCCACGGCAAAGGTCATGGCCAGGGCGCGGCCCAGCAGCCGGGGGAGGCCGTGAGCGCTGGCCAGCAGGCCCAGGCAGACCCCGCAGTACCGCTGGCCGCTGTGCAGCTCGTAGAGCTGGCACACGTGCTGGCGAGGC